ATAGTTGATTTTATTTTTGCCCGCAGTTCTCTTATATAAAGGGCTTCCAAAATTTTAAGTTTTTGCTTATCTTGATAAAGCACTGATGTATTTTCAACTATTATCTGTCTAGTACTTGGGGAAAAAGGAAAATTTTGGAATTTTTCTTGATCAATTTTTTTACAGCCACCAAGAAATTCATTTGTGAACTTGAAAGGATTAAAACTAAAATAGACATAATACATCAAAATTATTAACCAAACATATTTGAAATATACACACACACACACACACACACACACACTCTCATAGTCATGAGACAAAACTTGAATTAGAATTTTCAAACAACCATAGCATCAATTAATATGAAACCAAATGACAAACAATAAGTATACTGTCAGTTATACACATATTTTTCAAGTATATAAAAAAAACAGCTTGACATAAGGGCAAAGAGTATCAGACTTGCTTTGTGCATAGATTTAGCCTAAAAGCATCCCACTCATGGCTGATCATGTTGGTTCTTGTATGGTCAATGAAGTTAATCAGCATTGAGCCTGGTCAGTAACTAGATGGGTGACTGTTTGGGAATACTCTGTGCTGCAAAGATTGATGTGCAGTAGTGCAATGGATAACATCTCAGAATTGGAACTCAGCTCTCAGAGTTCCAGTTGGATTTGGTATTATCTACAGGTGCAAATACCCATATTCTACTCTGTTAGTTAGTCATGATTTACTGGTACAAGTCCTGCTATCTCCAAAAAAAAAAAAAAATTCTTACAATCTAATAAATATAATAATAATAATAACTGCCAGCTTTAACTAACCTGCAAAATAAAAAAAGCATCCCATGTTAAAAAGACCATAAACCTAAGGAATGGTATTTGGAGAGAGTCATGCTGTGACAGCAAGAAGAATCAAGGCCTAAATTACTAAGGTTGCTGCTAGGAAACTTAATTCAATGTGTCATGCTAGATAATTTTTCTAGCAAAAATCTATCCACTTCATGTCAATAGAAAATGTGAGCCTGAGAAGTTGCAAGGAGGTTAGCATCAGCCATGATGATGGAAGGCAAGAAAGTTTCTCTCAGATGAGTAAAAGAGAGCTGTTTTGGAGGAATTAAAATTAAGCCATTTCTTGCCCCACTTAACAGATTGAGGATTATTTCTGAGATCAACTGCCAATTGTAACCTTATGTAACTAAGAATTAACACCAGAGTAAATAGTTGTCATCAGCAAGTTGAGAACTGATGTAACTAGGAAGATCGTTGATGAAAACTAGTAACAATGAAGGACCAAGGATAGAGCCCTGGGGGACACCTACATTGATGCAAAATGATCTAGAAGAGTGGCTATTCAAGATGACTTTCATTTCACGATTTGATAAATAGCAAGTCTTACAATCCAAAATATGTTTCAGTTTTAAATAATCTACAAAGGGTTGATATGTCATATAAAACTAAATCAATATATCACAAGAAAAATGCTAAAATCTATTAATGGATATTTAAAAAAAAATGTAAGTGTGGCTTGCATAAAATCAACATGCAGGCCATAGTTTGCCAACTTCTGATCTACAAGGTTGGTGAAAAGGTGGGTGCTGCTGCCTCCTAAAAGCTCTTAAGATAATGTCTTAGCCATGACACAAGGTTAACTAGAAAAGGGGTAAACAGTGTGTGGAATCAGGACAGTGCTCTCAACCAAATGGCCAAGAAAGTTCTACAAAGTTAACTTTGACTTTTTTTTTCTACAGTCACCAATTAATTAATTTGTGGGCTTGAAAGGATTAAAACTAAAATAGACTTTTTGGCCAGCAAAGTTCTGGCTCATCTTCAACCTGAACTTAATAGATTATACTGTGAGTGGCATTTTAGAGCAAGACCACCCATCCTAATATTGGTACTCTGAAGACTCCCATCAAATAGTGAGGACTGTGGTTAAAAGTTGTGCAGCTTTTTGAGGTCATGTTGAGTTTGTAGTTGAAAAGAAAGAAGCATGTTGAATAAATTATCTTTTGACATCAGCAAATTTTATTAACATCTTTTTGTATTAAACGGCTTATTTATGCCTAATCAGTGAGTTTGAAAGGAAGCAGCAATTTTGAAAGTTTTTGCCTCACCACCCTCTTTGTGTAATGTGTGTGTTCTGTTTTTATATTTTAAGTAGCCTACGTGGAAATCTTTTCACTTCTTACCATGTTTAAAGGAAAATGACTTATTACATCCTACTTAAGTGACGTGCAATTGTACAAGACAGATGCACATATTCTGGTTTATTTCCCCTTACTTGATTCTTCTTTTCTCATCTCTTTCAAACCTGCAAGGTAACTGAATCTGTATTCTGGGAAACGGATAAAAAAAAAAATTTTGCTTTTTCTTATCTCTATAAACTGTACACAAATTGCCAACTTTTTCCTGTTTTCTTATTTCTGCAGATATAAAGTTGCTTATTTACATTATCTACATACAAAACTATTGTCCTTATATTTGTTGTTGTTATCAAAACGTTTTGGCCATTGTTTCCTTCATCAGGTGTATGTCAACAGAATTTAGACAGATATAAAGTTGCTTGGTTATTCTTCTGAGAGTTATTCTGACACTTGATCATGTTATTTCTGTTGATCCCACAGCATTTCAGCCAACCAATTCTTCAGCCTTCTTCAGATATACTAAGAGAGGGTATTTTTTTCATTCTTTAAGTATGCTAAAAGTATAATAAAAAAAATATGGTAGCAAATAAAATTGTAATATTTTTTTTTTAATCACTTCACTCCAAACAAAGAAATAAAACTACTAAGGCGCAAAGAATTACTGAGTCTGAGAAGAAACATTATTAAAGAGAGAGGACAATAAAAGTACAGCATTCAAGGAAACAAGATGATGATTGATATTGCATTTATATTATTGAAGATCAAACTTGACAGTAAAGGAAGAAAGTGGAAGAGAGACCCACAAGTGAGAAGTACAAGAGAAGAAACTGTTAACATAGAACTTACAACTATATCTAGCAATTTTGACTCTAAAACGATATTCACAACAACTCTGTTGTTATTCTAAGACAAGTGCGAGCAACCTTTTCCGACTGTTGGCCACATGAGACATGACTTGTTAAAGGTGCCTCAGCCATTTCCACTGCAGAAGACCATATGCATAAACATCTGCCTTAGAAATGGGGAAAGAATTGAATTCCTTTTTTCTTTGGAGAAAAGATGTTTCTATAATCATAAGATTGAAGTTTTGATATAATATTATCACTGATGACAATGTGATTAACACATGCCGCTGCATGTGATTTGGTTCTAATTTATTCATTTGAAAATACAAAAATTTTTTTAAATTTTAAAATAAAAAAAATACATTCTTCTGCAGAGAAAAAAAAATTATGAATGTTTCTTGTTTTTAACACAAAAGATAGTTACATATATTAAAATAAGAAAAAACATTACCCTCAATGAAAAGTTAGAAAATTCAAGAAACATTGCATTTAATCATTGTTTATGCATGTGGTTATGTATGAGAACATGTGAGTGAACAAGTGAGAACAAAAGGAAACAAACAACATTTTAGTGTTATTTTTTCTCATTATCAAATGGCTTGCAGACACTTAACTAACAGAGGCAATCATGTTGTGATTAAAAAGCTTTTCCACTTTGTCTCATTTCTCCATTTTTGTTTTGATTCTATATCCTATTAACACATGCTTGCATGTGTGAGATTTTTGGAAAGTATGTCAAGATATAAGCGGATATATTGCACTGGCAACAGGAACAATCTCACTTACTATTCTACTTGCATGTTCTTTCAGTAGGAAGAGCAAGGTTTATTCTTTCCTGTTTGAACAATTAAACAGGCAAAAGCTGTTTATGTAATTTTTGGTTGTAGAACAGATTAGACAAGTCACTGAGGCTAGCATCCAAGGATTTGATGGATCAGCATGTAGACGTGTGTTGTGATTAAATGTGAGTGAATCATGATGGATATTTGTACAAGGGCGGACATAAAGGTTTTTCAGCCATACCCACTTTCCCAAAATCTGACTCCTTGTGTATAACACATCTTTAGTTCTCAATATTTTTTTTTTTTGCTCTTACATCCTTTTTTTCCTTTATCCTATTTCAGAATGTCATTCCCCACTTTTAAGTTTGTATGATTCAAAAGATGCATTGTAGAATTATAGTATGCGTATATGTGTCTTTATCTAAGTTTGATTAAAAGGAATGGACAAGGTCTGTATTATATTTTTCCAATTTTCAAATAAGGTGTTGAGTATTGGGATCAAATTGTTGATAAACGGTCTGAAGTTCATATTCGTTCAAGTACTTTTGATTGTCTGTTATTTTCAAAAACCAAGCTGGTGTTTGTATGGTAGGCAGAAGTCTTTTGTCTACATCTTGATATTCTTTGGAAAGCTGAAAGTCTATGATAACATCATGTGTAACATTTATTGGAAGTATACTCATACCAAACTTGTTTGGTATGAATATAAATATACTTTATTCACACACACACACACACACACACACACGTGTGCACATTAGCAGCAGCCATTGCAAGCCCACTGCTAGACAAAGGTCTTTTCCAAGTTCCATTATGACTAATATTAACTGCCATGTTTTATCTGCCTATCCCTTGATCTCATCTGTTCATGTTCAGTCTGCTCTTAATGTGTTTGGCATCTATTGGGCACCAATCAACCAACCTTTCGTTATGTTATCTTTTGTTCTTGATATGTGTTTCACCTAACTCCATTTTGTCATTTAATTACTTTAATGATATCACTTATCTTGATCTGTTCACTGATCCATGTCATCCACTTTCGATCTCTTAGTTTTTCACTCTTTCCATTGACATTTGTGCATTTCTAAATTTCTTTTGAAGCAATTTGGTTTATTTCAATATTCCAGACTCTTGCCTCATTGCTGTCATTATGCATTGATTAGACACTTTAAGCATATTGGCAAGATCCTATCATACTTATATATCTGCTTATATCTTTGACTCTTTCTACTTAATCGTACACCTTATGGCCATATCATGTTAAAATGCCGGTTCTCATAAAATCACAGAAGTTAAGCAACATTGAACCTGGTTAGTACTTAGATGGGTGACGGCTTTCGAATGCCAGGTGCTGCAAGCTTGGATGTGTGGGTGATGTTGTAATGGATAATGACTCAAAATTGGAAATAGAATAGACAAGTGCAAATACCCTTAGAAAAAGTATGCATCCACCTCTTATCCTCTTAGCAATGGGTTAATTAGAACTTGTATCAGTAAATCATTATCTGCAAAGGTTTTTACAATCTAAAAATATTTTCTACTTTTTAAATAACCTGCAAAGGGTTGATAAGCTGTAAAAGACAAATCAGTCTGTTGAACCTTAATCTCACACACACACACACACACATATATATATATATATATATATATATATATATATATAATCCAAACAAAAGTGGAGAAATAAGGCACGGGAAATTTTATGGATAACAGGCTTCACCTTCATTAGGGAACGAAGTAGACGTTTTCAGGTCCGAATTATTTGTTTTTTTATTCTGACCTAAATACACCTACCTAATGAAGGAAAAGGACATTGTCAATAAAAAGTTTTTCTACGTTGTCTCATTTCTCCACACACACACACACATATATATATATATATATATATATATAATATTTGTGTATTCAGGCATGTTTGATTAAATAAATTACAATCATTATCATTATGTTTGCTTATTTTTAGCATAATCTGTTCATATTCACAAAATAAAAGAAAAAATTCCATAGTAGATAATTTTTTCACGTTCTAATGAACACTAAAGCAAAACTGTCTGCCTTTGCATTTAAAAGCAAAAAGAAAAGCAATTCAGTAATGGAGAGAGCTACACATAGTTTTTGCCTTACTAGTTGCTCCCTTGATTATGATCTCAGAAAGAGATGGAAAGTACTTGGGGAAATAAGTGATTTTCACTGTTACAATGCATTTCTTGTATCATTTGATTGTAATACATGGAAAAATGTCTATGAATATGAATGAATTATGCTAAAAATAAGCAGACATAATGTTTGTGATTTATTTAATTAGATGTATATGATTGTATGTATAATGTTAATTTAAAGCCAAGATAAATGAAACTCCATATTAACTGCTTGTAGATAACCAATATTTTGATTAAGTAACAAATGTGGATTTTGTTAATATTTCAATTCTAATTCATATGATCCTCAGATCATTGTAAATGGAAATAACATTTGTTGCTTATTGTCATATATAGACACAAATATAATAGAAACAAAAGGAACAAAGTGTTCTGTGAAGTAGTCAATACATATATATTAAAGAGATGATTTAAAGTGAACTTATCAGTCTGGTAAAGGACCTGCATGAAAACATCCTCCAGATATGGCATGGAAATTAATGCTGAAAAATACCAAACTCATGATGAACATTAAGAAAGTGCTCTCGACCAAAATAAAAGATATTGGTTTGAAATTCACTACCAAAGGACTGAATGTTGTTACTTTTTATCTCATGAGAGAGATGGATGTCTTATATATTAGTATATATGTAAATCTTACACAGCGGGTAGTGTTCCCACAAATATAAGTAGATGCATGTTGGCCCAACCCATAGTCTTCGTCTCCTGGGTGACTGCGTCTACCCCAGACATCTTCTGCCTCCAACTGTGAAAGACAGTATTTTCTATTTGAGCATCAGCTGCCACGATCATGTATCTGATTATACCAATTAGCTGCAATATCTATTCTGCTGCATGTTAAATAATTTGATAAAATTATTTTAAGACGACTGATAAAAAATTTTTCCTTACTCCATTTACTTTTTAAAAATTTTTCAAAAACAAGAAATTGCTCAAATTTTATATAGATTTCAAGATTAGCATAAAACAGTATATATTTCAGTTGTCTTTAAAAAAAAAAAAATGTACTGGAAATATTACCCAGTACTGACCACAGGGAAATTTCCTCCAATATGACATTTGTTGGTTTGGTTAATTTATTTTTATTTCATCCATATTTAACATAGTTATTTGTCAAGTAGAGGAATATGGGGACATTATTCAGTTTAAAAAGTTCTGGTCATCTCCTGCAGCCTGGAAGTCTCCAGTTGTCACAGTTTCTTGTGCCATTGGATAAAGACACCCTATTCCAAGAGAATGAGATTGCCCCAGTACAACAATTTTTTCCCCACTGTAAAGTCTTCCTGCACAAGCCTGTTTTGTTACCGATCTTGGAATATAAGTCTGAACTGTCCACATCATACGAATGGAACATCACATTCCCAGATGTCTGTTGTATGGAGAGCAGCTATGTAACAGAGGACATCAAGGTCGACCAAAGAACTACTACAAAAATGCAATCATAACTATCCTCGATTGGTGCAAAATCAGACTTAAGGAGCTAGAGCAATGTGCTACTGACCGATCATATTGACATGCCATTGTCTACTAAACTTCTGCACGATTCAAAGAAGCCTGGCTTCAGAAAATCAATATTTAAAGAGAACAGTGCTACCATGTTGTTTCAATTACTATAGTCTCTGACCAACCAGATTTGGTTAGTGAAGCCACCTCTGAATCCACTGATGTATTGCAAGACAAAGTTATCTTTGTACCTGAAGGACAACCATAAATTCAGTTTAATGGTGCTATGCTATTGAGGAAGCACAGTGAAGTAATGGATAATGGCTCGGATTGAGGAATCGGAGAGCCGAGTTCGAATTCCATTATAATCCATTACATTCACTTACGTGCTAGTACCCTTGGGAAAGGTATGAATCCTCTTCTTCACCCCCCAGTTATGGGTAAATAGCAGGATGGACCAGGTTCTATAGCCTTGGATGGCAACTGGTCTACTGCAGAAAGAAATGGTAACCTACTGCAGGAAAAAATCTGCCTCGTCAGTCATGTATCAAAAGATACATGATTACCTAAGCATGTTTCACACATGACGCATAACTGACTGGGTGCTATACTAAATCTCTTTTCCTACAATTCAGTTAAATGTATATCATAAACCTTACTGTAAAATAAATCAAGGAAATGCATTTTTTGAACTCTTAGCAGTTCATATTCAGTTTAGAAGATTCTTCTATAATTTTCAGAAATTTAGAATGAATGAATGATTATGTATCAATTTTAAAGCTGTAATTTTAAAGAAATTTCTTTTTACATCTGCAACCAGTATTCTGAGCATGATGCAAATATTGCAATATTAACAGGATCACTTTTGATCCTTGTTGGTTAAATCCAACCATTTTGTGCATATTTATTTTATTTTATTTTTTTTTTGTTGTGTGTATGTGTTCCCATTATATGGACACTGAGATTTGAATTATTTTTTTTTTTGTTAACCTTTTGTAGGTTATTTAAATCTGAAACATTTTGGATTGTAAAAATTTCATTTTTTGTGAGTGAATATTGCATTAACAATTTCTTGAGAATAACAATGATTTTTTCCAGATACAAGTCTTACTATTTAACCCATAGCTAGGGGAAGGAAATGGATTCATAATTTTCTCAGGGCTATTTGCATGTAAGTGAATATAACGAAACTGGAATACAAACTTGGCTCTCTGATTTCTCATTCCAAGCTGTTATGCACTACACCATCCGTACATATAAACACTAAAAAGCCTACACATTATGACCCTCTGTGTAATAAGCTATTAATCTTCTATATGCCCGCATGTGCTGATTGGGCATACTCTATGAATTTTTTTTTCTTAGATCAGGTGCCAGAATTTATTTGTAGGTTCTTTAGCAATTAGTAATCTGTTGGCAACTGCAAAATGTTTGTCCTACCACTGCAGGCAATTCTGTTTACTGGATGACACTGTTTGAATTTCACAGTTGTATTGTCATGTCTTGCTGTGGCTACTGTAAAAAAATGTCCTTGGCTGGAATCAAGAACCAGGCAGCTGCATTTGAGCAGCTGCTATATGCAGTAGAAAAAGAAGTAATGCTTGTTAGTAATGCGAAGTAATAAAGGTTAAATGCTGCAAGTTACATGGTGTTGGTTCTGAATTTCCTAGTCCTACATCTTATTTATAAAATACAGTGTTTGTGTGTGTGTCCAAGCAACTCCTCCACTCTCACTGGTCCAATTTCAATGATTCATAGCTCATTCAAAAGCCCTAGAAAAGTTGGACACAGGGAATGATTTTCGTTGAGCTCAGATTCAAGGTTGCCAGATTATGCGACGTTAAAAATATATATTATACTAGCCATTATTGTTGCTTTCATGGTTCAAGGGAAGTAACTCTTATTTTCTTTTTGTATCCAAAATTGTAGTGCACATTTTATTATAAACTAGCTTAAAAGCTGCCCTATGTGGAGAACTCTTAGTTTGGCCATCATCACAATAGCTAGGGAGGAGTAGATGCTATAGGCATCAATAAACTACAAAAGAACTCAAAATTGATCACTGCATTTAAGTATTGAATTAATGTTTAAGCTTACCTTTTAAAAGTTCAACGATAATTCTTCTGCTGCCACGTAATTTAAAAGACGATTTGATGTATGTAGATCCTTGTTTTCCATACAAACAATTATTTTTATTTCATGGATGACAGAACGGGACAATTTATATGATAAAATTAATATAGTGTAAAGATGGGAAATTAGAATTAGTTATACATTTGAAGAGTTCGAGAAACATAATAGCTAATTAAGTAAAACCTATATTATGGAATCTATGAATAAATGCAAAAATTGAGCACAATTATCCAACAAATTCTGGAGTTAAAAAAGCCCAACTCTAGTTTATAGTGATTTATATGCTAAAAGCTCAGTATCTGTATTCTATATTATCTACTACTAGGCAATATCGGTCTTTAGGCTTAAATAATTTGCATATTGATTTAAAAAAGTATATTTCATTGAGTGTTCTTTTATTCAAGGATTGTTTTGATTTTTATATAAAAAATAGTTCTGTTGGGAAATATTGTCTTATATAGTGCAAAAAAAGTGAAATTTGCATTTTACATGGCCTTCAATAAGTTGGCATATATTTGTAAAACCTTCCTTAACTATAACAAGCCAATTTATGAATGAAATGTTCATTTAAAATTTGTTTCAAATATTTCAAGTAGTGAATATATCTTACTTTGTGAAGTGATA